TCTGAACGACCACGTTGTGGCAATGTTGCAAGCAGATCTTGTCCCTCTCGCCTGCAAGAGTATCAGGCTCAGGACAATGTAGCCAAACAAGGCATGAAGCGTCCTGAGCCAACTTCGCAAAGAAAGAACTGGTCTTTGAACAATTGGAAGCTCATTGTGCACCTTATGCCGAAGGGCGGGTTTAGTTTAGGGTTTATTGTGAGTGAAAAGCCGACACACGTCACCAGCTGAGTCATGTATACCCGTCTCCATCCTCGCCTACAGGTCGGTGATTGCTAAAGATGCAAACGTATCCAGCCTGAGCGAGGAGGGCACGGGCACACAGGCACACAGCATGTGGAGAGCATGTTTCAGGGGGCAACGAGTGACATGAAGATTGGCTTTCATTACTTGTGTTCCGGTGGAAATAGAAACAAGCCAGGTGTGTTCATGCCCCTTAAGGAAAACGAACAGTCTCAAATGCCACGTTGCTATCATTAAATAAAATAATCGAAAACGAAGACTTCCAGACATTTGGTTAAAGCTTTCAGTGATCGTTTGTTCTATCTGAAGTGTTTTTTTGCCCTTCACTCCAATGGTTTTGGATCACAGTAGCTCGGACACCGGCCACTGCGGCCAAGACAGCGGCGCTTTGGATCGCAGCATGAAAGGCCCGTGCCGAATCTCTGCTCCTATCAAGTGCAAGTGGACGCAGGCGCTTTTTAAGCCAAGCGGTAACATGCGGTAACTAACTATTAATCTATATATAGTTAAACCTTCACGTGCATCATTCTGCACGTAAAACAAGCATCTGTCTTCGGTGCGTATTCCTCACAAGTCGAAAAAACAATGCGACTTGGAACCTTCGCGACCATCGGCCAGTTTGCTCCAAAAAGGACAAGGGAACATCGACAGAGATCGGATGTCTGGGCAAGCCGCAAAAATCCGTTGTTCAAGTCCATTTTCGCTGGTGTTAACGATGTTTTTCCATCCAAGTCAAGTGTGGAATCCCGACATCCAAGGCCTCAGCGTAGCTGCGCAGCCCAAGGGCTCGTCGGACGGCGACATGGCGTCGGACTGAGATGTGGCGGGGACCTGGAGATGGCATCAATTTAGCATCGACATGTCTGATCATATCCCCGGAGACGGCATCCACTCGCCAAACGTAAAGCGCGTTCGTTGCATCGTCCATCTGCGTGGATCCTCAAGCGGCTAAAAGCATCTAAAAGCAACCTAAAATCTGCAAAAACGAACCTTTTTAGAAGTTCTAACCTAGCTTTTGAGGCACAGATCGCGGATTGGCAAATCCTCGAAGGTGGTTGATGGGAAACTGAAAATCCAACCATTGATCTTCTATTGGAGAAGAACATCTTTTTGCGCCTTGAGCTTCGCTGATGGCTTTTTTCTTGGGGAGGAGCCCCTGTAGATTCTGACAGTTCCGACAAATGCATGGTTGAAGCGCAACGATTGTGGCATGACAAAGGGGAATCTCAAGGCTGGTGCCTCTTATCCCATTTGCTACGTCCAAAAAAAACAGCTCCTCCTTTTTCTGTTCCGATCTGCCACTCACGCCGTGTTTTGAGCGCGACAGCTGGATGCATCTCACTGCAAGAGCGGCATTGCAGTCGAACCAGCCTGGGCGATTCCATGGGGCACGGGGGAAGAACACCTGCGATGTGAGCTGTGAACACGCCTTCAAACCTATGAAACTGTCTTTACATATATCCAAAAGCGCTGGATCTCTGAATGGGTGTGGTTTTCTTGGGGGTACCTGTTTCGGATGTGCTACTCAAATGGAGTTCGTTTGAAGCACCAACAGGACATGTTGTGCCGACTTCGCACCTGAAGGTCCGCCAAGTCACCATCCGGCTCCCTGCACAGGCCACGGGCGAATAACACGCCAAAAAATCCTGAGACTTTAACAGTTTGGAGTCAGTTTGGAGGTGAACTTTTCTTTCCTTTTTCCCTTGGCAGAATCGTCGGTATATGTTTGATAGGATTACATCTCCAATTCGTCAGCCAAGCCAAGGCCGTGTCACTCTTTGCTTCGGCCGTTTCTTGCTCCGGCCTCGCTGATGCCACGGACTTCCCTGGCGCCAAGTCACAGTGGCATCGGAGGTTTTTTCCATTCATTTCTGAAGCCTTTCTACTTTGACAAAACAATAGCTTAGTATTCGTTGATGCGGGGCACCAGTCCACTTGCGATACGAAGATTTGCTGAAGCATATGTAATAAAGGAAAAAAAGGATGATATGGCTTTCATCCGCCCAGAACAAGCAAGGGAACCACGCCCCTGAATTTTTTGCATCTCGAGCCATAAAGAGCCATGAATGAAAACGTTCAAATCACAATGGCAGCTTCTTCGGCAAAGGATGTTTCAAAATAATTTTTGACATGACACTGATGACACCCTGTGATGCTTGGTGCCTGCGGGTCCAGCAATCACCACAGCGAGGAACGTCAGCAGCAGGAAGCCACCCGCCAGGGTCACAAACAAGGCCTGGAAGAGGCTGCATTCGGTGGGAGGTGAGGGCGATTAGGTAATGTCTAAGCTTCAAAAACAGGTTGGGAATATCAAGAGTGAACACAAAGTGTCACTTCCATGTTGTGAATTCAACAGTCAACAGTAGCCCTAGCTAGAGTCGACTTCTCCCGTGCCTCTGTGAAAGGGAAGGTGGTGAGAATCAAGGCCATGTTGCAAGCCTCGTGTCAGCTGTCAAGTCTGCTCCGTAGAGGTTCCCTATGGAAGCGAGAAACTCAGATTTCTCTTTGCAGAGCTGCCGCGAGCAAGACAAACACCATCTACCGTTCAATTTGTTGAAGAACGTCATCTACCACCACCCAAACAAATCCCCAAGAATCCAAAATACATCATGATCATGACCTGGGAACTTCATCACCTCGGCCCTGCCAAGTGGAACCCGCCCCAAACACGCCACGGCGACAAGCTCTGCTCGAGTCCGGGTGGCTGCGAAGCTCAAGGTCACGCGGCCGTTCAGCGGATGCGCCAGGTGACGGAGCTTCCCCGTCTGACAGGACCGGTGGTCGGAGCGACAGAGCGGGCTGAGCGGTGTCCCCAAACTGAAAAGCATGACGCCCGACACCATTCGAACAGGGACGTGAGGTGAAGTCAAGGTTAGTTGGGGGGCAGGGGGCGTCAGTGGGTTCAAAAGACATCTAGGGTTTTTTGACAGTTTTGACACATTCATGAAATCAGCTTGCCGGCTTTAAACAAGAAGATTCTGACTCATCTTTCTGCAAACAAGTCGTTAAACAGAAACATCAGCGGAAACATCCTCTGATTCGGAATTCAAAAGACATCTCATCAAAAAGTAAAAGCAGTCTCAAGCCCAGCGCCTGCAATCCCATGAACTTGCTCCAGCCCTGAAAAGCCTTGGCAAGAGTTGTCCACTTGGGTCATCAGTTGCTGTGTTAAGCATCACCATGACATGCTGGAGCTTTTCTTTTCAGGAGCTTGCCCCCACGACTAAAGGCAGAGTGATCAGCAACCACTGCGCAACCCGCTCACCCTATCGCCCTCCGTTTCCTTTTTTGGCCGCATCTCTTCTAAAGCTCAACTTAGGGAGTGCAAGCGGATTAAGATCCATTCTAGGTACCCCAGCTGGTCTCGCACCTTCTTCGGCGAGGATTGGTTCAAAATATGGCTATGATAGAGCTCGAGTGTCGAATTGGCCTCACCAAGGGCATCTCTTGTTCGAGTTTTGCATGCTCTTGTTCGATGTACCAAGTTGACAATGTGCTGTGGCAACAGGTTGCAGCCAGCACATTGGGCGGCCTGGTCGCTACAAATGGTGAGGTTTTGCAAATGGCTGAGGTCTGCAAATAGCTTTATAAAGACTTCTGACGGCAGTTCACCAAAAGAGTTATAACCGAGCTCTAATCTCTCCAAGTTCTTGAGATGCGCAAACACTTCAACACGCACTTCGCGAAGCGAGTTGTACTGCAAATCGAGAGTCTTCAAATTGGCGAGGCTTGCGAACAAGGCTTCAAGAACTTCAGTAGACACTTCACCAAGGGCATTGCCCTTCAGGCTGAGATTCTGCAAATTGCCGAGGCCTGAGAACAAGTTTGCAGGGACTTCAGGGTGCAGCGCACCGAGAAAGTTGAAACCCAAATCCAGTGTCTTTACATTATGGTTGAGGCCAGCAAAGACATTTGCAAGCCCTTCAGCAGGCATTGTGCCAAGAAAGT